TACCAGTTTTCTCATGCTGGGTCTCCATTTGCTGCATCTTCTGTGTCAGCTCCTGCTCTCTTTGCTGGGCCTGAAGGGCTCGGGCCTTTGCTTCATTGCTAATGCTTTGCTGAATGCTCTCTTTCTCCAATCTATAAAAAAAAACAAATAGGAAATAAAGAAAAATAAAAATCATATACCTAAGATGATAAATTAAAAAGGTAAAGCAGAACATTGAATTAACAATAACAAAAAAAAAAAATCTGGTCAAGCTTTTCACATTAAACACTACCCTCTCACTTCAGGTTATAGAAACTGACCTTTCTCTTACAATGTCAAACGTTCTCCAGTGACTAGTAGAAAATAGATTAAAAATATGATCTATTTCCTGAGAAAAAATTAGCCTTTCAGACAAAAATACGATTTCATGTTTAAGTATTTTAAACATGACTTCTTTTTCATAAGGAAGTTCCCCAACATTCACTTTGCATTGAACGGATTATTGGCATTTTCTTTTAAATGCTATTTATTTAATTCTGCAATGAAGCTTAGGGACCTGACCCCGAGATGGACTGGTTCCCAGTGAACCAGCAGGAGATAAGTCAATGGGAGCGATTGCCACAGTGCTCATAATACAGCTACTCTGAAAGCTTAATGAGTTTTCTTAAGCAACTAAACAAGTTTTAACTATTAATTTATGTAAATAGGAGATGAATGCATCCATTACAATAGAAAAGACTGTTAGCACCACAGAGGCCCTCTCTCTTGTGGTTCTGCTCACTGGGGGGGTGTACAGGAAGGTCTAAAGCCCAGTACTATTATCAAAGTATGCAGGCAACAGAGCAATTTACTTGACCAGATATGCAAGATGGGGCAATCTACTCCTGAGGCAAAACAAATGCTAGACTACCACACTCCATTGAAGCATTTTATTTAATGCAAGCCAAGCAAAAACAGCATGGAAAATAAAACCCCAAAAAGATATATGCATATAAATTAGACAAGGTCCTAAACTGCAAATTCACATCTAGACTTTCCCAAAGGTCGTGAATATTTATTTGGTGCACACTAGGATCCAGATTCAAAATTTCAGCAAGTTAACGCATACAAGGACTGATTTCTAGATTTCAGATGACCTATATGCACCCACTTTTCTACTGAAACTACATTTAATAGCTTGGGATAAGTTTCAGTAAAGTCTTGCAAAGGTGTTGTTTTATTCTAGGGATAATTATTTCAGGGGACTACGAAACAGAACACAGGCATAGATCATGTAAGGATAAAGCCACGTCTCATGTGGTTGCTGCACTTAACCTTTGGATTGGTGCCTAATAACCCATCCGAGATATTGCAATATCTCAGCATGACACACACAATGTTAAATCTTCTCTCTCAAATTTACCCCAAAGCAATACAAATGGTGGGTCACATTACACTAATTCCTGGTCCTGATGTTGCAAGTCCTACCTTAGGCAAAACTCCCTTTGAAATCACAGGCAGTTTTTTCTGAGGTAAGACTGAGAATGACTTGACACAGAGAATACACTTAGATAGCAAGAATACTATGGTGTTAAGGAAACAAAGCACATTTTTCAAGGAATTTCATAGATGGAACTGCACTTTATCACATCATTCTCAGAATTACATAACCAGTATGGTTACCCATATTTGGGCTATCCTAAGGAGTGATGCTTGCATCATTTCCAAAGTGTAAGCTCCAAATGTGGAAAGCATGATCGTGAAAAATCTTTCCATATTTACTGTGAACCAGACTATTTAAATCCTTTCTCCATTTCCAAACATCTTTCACCTTCAGACAGTTGTCATGAGTACTGGACTACTCAAAAAAACCCCACACCAGCCCCTAACACATCCCCCAGACACTTTCAGCTAAAGGAAGTGGCAGTAGCACAGTACTTTATTTGACAGCATCTCATGTGAGATGGCTGTGTGTAGTTGGGTGCTGTGCTGTCATCTGGCACACAGCTGGCTGGCTAGCATTCTGCTGGGGGTAGCCTTCAGCATGTACCAAGCTGCACAGCTCGAGCTATCAATGCCAGCCTTTAAAGGTCCATTTCTCATTGCTAGGATCCCTCCTGTTGAACGCATGCTAACAGGCAAGTTCAAAATAAATGGAGAATCTGCTGCCACCAGAAACACTCTCTTGCAAAGCGGACCCATCCAAAAAAGCCACTCATCTGTGCTACTTACTTAAAGCAAACGAGCAGGAGCTCAGGAACCATGGATGCATGGTGTGTATGCTATGGCTGAAGTGCGTGTGTGGTGGGTGGAAATAGATGAGTTTATATAGTGGATAAAAGCTCAACTATAATAGTAGGAAATCACAGGTAAGTCTTATGCAAGAGGGTATCTGGCTAGTCTCAGTCTTAGCACCTAGAAAATTTGGGGATTGAGCCGTATCCAGTGCCACATAAAGAGCAGTATCTGAGGTGCCGAGAACTGCCTTGGAATGAAAAAATCTCCTGGAGCCAAGTGGCAAGTCTTTCACCCACACCTTGAGTTGACACCTTCCTTGCTCTCTAAATTCAATCTTTTGCTCTCTGAATTCAATCTCTCTGTCTTCCTACAGAAAATTTCTCAAATACACTTTACGTATGTAGAGAAAAAAGAAAAAGAAAAAAAAAGAATGAAAAAAACAAACCAGAAAACCCCATAGATAAAACATGCAGAAAGAGGTCCAAGAGATTTCAGGAACTATCGGTAACACTCCTGCTACAAACAGCAAACAGTGCAGGAGTTTTAGAAGGTTTGACACTGTCTGCTTATTTGCAATTACTCTGAATTGTGAAAGAAGAGGAGCTTGATTTAAGAAAAAGAAAAGCTATGGACTGTGGATCAGTTTTACTAAAGCAGAAGCACTGAAATCATGGTGACTTTCATTTTTGCGCCATAAAGTCAGAAGCAACCAAAGACTCATTCACACAGAGGTAAGCTCAAGCTCTCCCTTAGCCTTGTTCTGAAGTGCAAGTTTTCCACCACAATTTTAGTTCTAAACACTGATTATTTTGAGCCTGAGTTATGGCTGTCAAGAGCAGCCTACAGTTAACTTGTTCACGTATCTCAGTGAACTGGATATTGGCTTGCAGTGACTGAAAGCTATGCTTTCTAAATATTCTTGACAAAACAAAGGGCACAGTAAACGGTAGCTTATAGCACAGGAAAAAGAACAAAATTGTCATCACTTGCAAACCTTAAAAAAAAATCATTGCTGAAAATGAAGTGAAAATTCACTTTGACCCCAAAGCCAACATAAAGGTACACTGGCTGAATTTGAGCCACCAAATTTAATTAAAAAAAAAAATCTTTCTTGCCACTAACAAACGCAAACTGGATCACAGATCCATTTTCAACAGAAGACTGCTCTGTGCCAAATGGCTTCGCGGTAAAGAAAAAGGAAGGATATAAAGACTAGTGACATGAAAGTCATATTTGATATAAATAATAGCTCATTGATTTTTGACTGTAAAAGATCAGAACTTAGATTGATAAAACTTTGAATTTTGCACACAGTTCAATAATAGGTATTTTTCCGCAAGTTTCTTTTTGCTTTGGCAACAGTAAAAATACAAAATGAAAAATACAGGATGTGTCTCAATCTAGAATTAGGCCTCTGACTAGAGGTTGCCACTAAGTTTTCTGACTACGCAACTCTGGTGTGAAGCAACCACGCTTCCTATATTGACTATTTGATTTTTCCATGAGATCAACATGTGGCCTTTTGTAAAAAGCTAATGGATCCATTAGTAGGGACTATGAACTTAATTGGAGAAGTTAAAATACTCCAGTAAATATCAGTTCAGTGGCACACAAGAGGTTATCATAATCTTATTTTGACATCTTCATTTCTTATAAATTATGGTTAAAAATGTAATTGTAAATTTTTTTAAATTTTCATATATATTTACTTTAAACTGGACTTCATAAATTATTCAGGCATTTAGTGTTCCAAACGTTTGAGGTATATGAACTGAGACGACTCTTGGTCTAAATAACAAGCAGTCCTAGAACTCGGCATCAACACTCATACTTGGGCAGCAAGAGGACCAGTAGAGCCTAACACTGATGCATTTACTACATGCCTCAGTGGTTGAGCATAGACCATCTTCCCAGTTAACAGGTAGCCAAGTGGGCCAGCACTGTGAACTACTGCACAACGAATCTCATCAGAAGAGGGAAAGGACTCAGCTGAGGGCTCCCTCAGCTCTTCTAAAAGAAACGGGCTTCCTCTCCCAGTACTTTTTGAAAATAAAATGTGTAGCACGAGCTCCTACATACCAAATGGAAAAACAGTTCTGAGAAGGTACCCAAGCACTCAATTCCCAGTATCTTTAACAAAATCTGGCCTGCAGGCACTCAAATCAACTAGAAGACTTCTGAAAATAGGACTTGAAAGCCTATGTGTATTAGGAACTCTAAAGATTTTAATCAACAGCTTTGGGTACAAAGCCCAGCAATGTTCCATGCTGTCTACTTAGCAAGCCTTCCACGATACAGGTCTAGCAAACTGTCCATTACAAGCAGCTTTTGGAACTACCTTCTCATAGGTTTTTTCATATTATTATTTCAGCTACAAGTGTCAGAGGAAGAATGGAAAATCAGAGTATAGCCTTGCTCTTGTATCAGGCTACAGGGGGGAAAAAAACCCAACATAGCAACGTTCTTAGAAAAAAAAAAAAAAAGAATAAGACTTGAAACAAGAGGTCACAATATCTACCCTATTCTGGAAGGGGAAACAAGAAAAATGTTTACTATCAGAAAGTATTCAAATACTGCAATCATAAATGTCATAAAAGAACACATATAGAATAAGATTATATGTTGGGTCAGAACACTTAATGAATTTCTTCCCTCTGTTCTCCATATGTACTTTCATGTCATATACAGAAGGATAAGGGCCCAGTTTTTTTCAGGTCAGCAGACAAGCCTCAAGGTTGGTCTGCAAATATGAAAAAACCCACAATTTACCAAGAAGCCATTATCCCCAGGAATGGTCTTAAATAATTTTCTCTATTAATGTAAAACTCCTAAAACTGCTTTCAGATCTGCCTTTCAATTGA